CCATCATGCCTGTCTCTCATCGCCATCATGCCTGTCTCTCATCGCCATCATGCCTGTCTCTCATCGCCATCATGCCTGTCTCTCATCGCCATCATGCCTGTCTCTCATCGCCATCATGCCTGTCTCTCATCGCCATCATGCCTGTCTCTCATCGCCATCATGCCTGTCTCTCATCGCCATCATGCCTGTCTCTCATCGCCATCATGCCTGTCTCTCATCGCCATCATGCCTGTCTCTCATCGCCATCATGCCTGTCTCTCATCGCCATCATGCCTGTCTCTCATCGCCATCATGCCTGTCTCTCATCGCCATCATGCCTGTCTCTCATCGCCATCATGCCTGTCTCTCATCGCCATCATGCCTGTCTCTCATCGCCATCATGCCTGTCTCTCATCGCCATCATGCCTGTCTCTCATCGCCATCATGCCTGTCTCTCATCGCCATCATGCCTGTCTCTCATCGCCATCATGCCAGTCGCTCATCGCCATCATGCCTGTCTCTCATCGCCATCATGCCTGTCTCTCATCGCCATCATGCCTGTCTCTCATCGCCATCATGCCTGTCTCTCATCGCCATCATGCCTGTCTCTCATCGCCATCATGCCTGTCTCTCATCGCCATCATGCCTGTCTCTCATCGCCATCATGCCTGTCTCTCATCGCCATCATGCCTGTCTCTCATCGCCATCATGCCTGTCTCTCATCGCCATCATGCCTGTCTCTCATCGCCATCATGCCTGTCTCTCATCGCCATCATGCCTGTCTCTCATCGCCATCATGCCTGTCTCTCATCGCCATCATGCCTGTCTCTCATCGCCATCATGCCTGTCTCTCATCGCCATCATGCCTGTCTCTCATCGCCATCATGCCTGTCTCTCATCGCCATCATGCCTGTCTCTCATCGCCATCATGCCTGTCTCTCATCGCCATCATGCCTGTCTCTCATCGCCATCATGCCTGTCTCTCATCGCCATCATGCCTGTCTCTCATCGCCATCATGCCTGTCTCTCATCGCCATCATGCCTGTCTCTCATCGCCATCATGCCTGTCTTATCGCCATCATGCCTGTCTCTCATCGCCATCATGCCTGTCTCTCATCGCCATCATGCCTGTCTCTCATCGCCATCATGCCTGTCTCTCATCGCCATCATGCCTGTCTCTCATCGCCATCATGCCTGTCTCTCATCGCCATCATGCCTGTCTCTCATCGCCATCATGCCTGTCTCTCATCGCCATCATGCCTGTCTCTCATCGCCATCATGCCTGTCTCTCATCGCCATCATGCCTGTCTCTCATCGCCATCATGCCTGTCTCTCATCGCCATCATGCCTGTCTCTCATCGCCATCATGCCTGTCTCTCATCGCCATCATGCCTGTCTCTCATCGCCATCATGCCTGTCTCTCATCGCCATCATGCCTGTCTCTCATCGCGTTCATGCCTGTCTCTCATCGCCATCATGCCTGTCTCTCATCGCCATCATGCCTGTCTCTCATCGCCATCATGCCAGTCGCTCATCGCCATCATGCCTGTCTCTCATCGCCATCATGCCTGTCTCTCATCGCCATCATGCCTGTCTCTCATCGCCATCATGCCTGTCTCTCATCGCCATCATGCCTGTCTCTCATCGCCATCATGCCTGTCTCTCATCGCCATCATGCCTGTCTCTCATCGCCATCATGCCTGTCTCTCATCGCCATCATGCCTGTCTCTCATCGCCATCATGCCTGTCTCTCATCGCCATCATGCCTGTCTCTCATCGCCATCATGCCTGTCTCTCATCGCCATCATGCCTGTCTCTCATCGCCATCATGCCTGTCTCTCATCGCCATCATGCCTGTCTCTCATCGCCATCATGCCTGTCTCTCATCGCCATCATGCCTGTCTCTCATCGCCATCATGCCTGTCTCTCATCGCCATCATGCCTGTCTCTCATCGCCATCATGCCTGTCTCTCATCGCCATCATGCCTGTCTCTCATCGCCATCATGCCTGTCTCTCATCGCCATCATGCCTGTCTCTCATCGCCATCATGCCTGTCTCTCATCGCCATCATGCCTGTCTCTCATCGCCATCATGCCTGTCTCTCATCGCCATCATGCCTGTCTCTCATCGCCATCATGCCTGTCTCTCATCGCCATCATGCCTGTCTCTCATCGCCATCATGCCTGTCTCTCATCGCCATCATGCCTGTCTCTCATCGCCATCATGCCTGTCTCTCATCGCCATCATGCCTGTCTCTCATCGCCATCATGCCTGTCTCTCATCGCCATCATGCCTGTCTCTCATCGCCATCATGCCTGTCTCTCATCGCCATCATGCCTGTCTCTCATCGCCATCATGCCTGTCTCTCATCGCCATCATGCCTGTCTCTCATCGCCATCATGCCTGTCTCTCATCGCCATCATGCCTGTCTCTCATCGCCATCATGCCTGTCTCTCATCGCCATCATGCCTGTCTCTCATCGCCATCATGCCTGTCTCTCATCGCCATCATGCCTGTCTCTCATCGCCATCATGCCTGTCTCTCATCGCCATCATGCCTGTCTCTCATCGCCATCATGCCTGTCTCTCATCGCCATCATGCCTGTCTCTCATCGCGTTCATGCCTGTCTCTCATCGCCATCATGCCTGTCTCTCATCGCGTTCATGCCTGTCTCTCATCGCCATCATGCCTGTCTCTCATCGCCATCATGCCTGTCTCTCATCGCCATCATGCCTGTCTCTCATCGCCATCATGCCTGTCTCTCATCGCCATCATGCCTGTCTCTCATCGCCATCATGCCTGTCTCTCATCGCCATCATGCCTGTCTCTCATCGCCATCATGCCTGTCTCTCATCGCCATCATGCCTGTCTCTCATCGCCATCATGCCTGTCTCTCATCGCCATCATGCCTGTCTCTCATCGCCATCATGCCTGTCTCTCATCGCCATCATGCCTGTCTCTCATCGCCATCATGCCTGTCTCTCATCGCCATCATGCCTGTCTCTCATCGCCATCATGCCTGTCTCTCATCGCCATCATGCCTGTCTCTCATCGCCATCATGCCTGTCTCTCATCGCCATCATGCCTGTCTCTCATCGCCATCATGCCTGTCTCTCATCGCCATCATGCCTGTCTCTCATCGCCATCATGCCTGTCTCTCATCGCCATCATGCCTGTCTCTCATCGCCATCATGCCTGTCTCTCATCGCCATCATGCCTGTCTCTCATCGCCATCATGCCTGTCTCTCATCGCCATCATGCCTGTCTCTCATCGCCATCATGCCTGTCTCTCATCGCCATCATGCCTGTCTCTCATCGCCATCATGCCTGTCTCTCATCGCCATCATGCCTGTCTCTCATCGCCATCATGCCTGTCTCTCATCGCCATCATGCCTGTCTCTCATCGCCATCATGCCTGTCTCTCATCGCCATCATGCCTGTCTCTCATCGCCATCATGCCTGTCTCTCATCGCCATCATGCCTGTCTCTCATCGCCATCATGCCTGTCTCTCATCGCCATCATGCCTGTCTCTCATCGCCATCATGCCTGTCTCTCATCGCCATCATGCCTGTCTCTCATCGCCATCATGCCTGTCTCTCATCGCCATCATGCCTGTCTCTCATCGCCATCATGCCTGTCTCTCATCGCCATCATGCCTGTCTCTCATCGCCATCATGCCTGTCTCTCATCGCCATCATGCCTGTCTCTCATCGCCATCATGCCTGTCTCTCATCGCCATCATGCCTGTCTCTCATCTCCTTCATGCCTGTCTCTCATCGCCATCATGCCTGTCTCTCATCGCCATCATGCCTGTCTCTCATCGCCATCATGCCTGTCTCTCATCGCCATCATGCCTGTCTCTCATCGCCATCATGCCTGTCTCTCATCGCCATCATGCCTGTCTCTCATCGCCATCATGCCTGTCTCTCATCGCCATCATGCCTGTCTCTCATCGCCATCATGCCTGTCTCTCATCGCCATCATGCCTGTCTCTCATCGCCATCATGCCTGTCTCTCATCGCCATCATGCCTGTCTCTCATCGCCATCATGCCTGTCTCTCATCGCCATCATGCCTGTCTCTCATCGCCATCATGCCTGTCTCTCATCGCCATCATGCCTGTCTCTCATCGCCATCATGCCTGTCTCTCATCGCCATCATGCCTGTCTCTCATCGCCATCATGCCTGTCTCTCATCGCCATCATGCCTGTCTCTCATCGCCATCATGCCTGTCTCTCATCTCCTTCATGCCTGTCTCTCATCGCCATCATGCCTGTCTCTCATCGCCATCATGCCTGTCTCTCATCGCCATCATGCCTGTCTCTCATCGCCATCATGCCTGTCTCTCATCGCCATCATGCCTGTCTCTCATCGCCATCATGCCTGTCTCTCATCGCCATCATGCCTGTCTCTCATCGCCATCATGCCTGTCTCTCATCGCCATCATGCCTGTCTCTCATCGCCATCATGCCTGTCTCTCATCGCCATCATGCCTGTCTCTCATCGCCATCATGCCTGTCTCTCATCGCCATCATGCCTGTCTCTCATCGCCATCATGCCTGTCTCTCATCGCCATCATGCCTGTCTCTCATCGCCATCATGCCTGTCTCTCATCGCCATCATGCCTGTCTCTCATCGCCATCATGCCTGTCTCTCATCGCCATCATGCCTGTCTCTCATCGCCATCATGCCTGTCTCTCATCGCCATCATGCCTGTCTCTCATCGCCATCATGCCTGTCTCTCATCGCCATCATGCCTGTCTCTCATCGCCATCATGCCTGTCTCTCATCGCCATCATGCCTGTCTCTCATCGCCATCATGCCTGTCTCTCATCGCCATCATGCCTGTCTCTCATCGCCATCATGCCTGTCTCTCATCGCCATCATGCCTGTCTCTCATCGCCATCATGCCTGTCTCTCATCGCCATCATGCCTGTCTCTCATCGCCATCATGCCTGTCTCTCATCGCCATCATGCCTGTCTCTCATCGCCATCATGCCTCTCTCTCCCCGCATGCCAGCTGGCAGCATCGTTCGGTCCGCGCTACTATGCCACCGTCTTCAAGGCCAAGCGCCTCTCCGGCACCGGCGCCCAGCAGGTGATGCACTCATGCCCTCATGCCCTCATGCCCTCATGCCCTCATGCCCTCATGCCCTCACGCCATCATGCCCTCATGCCCTCATGCCATCATGCCCTCACGCCCTCGCGCCATCATGCCCTCATGCCATGGCACGTGGCGCCAGAACAGCTGAGAAGCCCTCAAACCCAACCTCCTCATTGCTCCAGCGTCCCATCCCTCCTGCTGTCGCGTCTCCCACTCCCATTCTTCGTGTGCCAACATGCACTGCCCCCATGGCCCTGCCCTCAATGCACCCATGCACCCATGCTTGGACCAGATGCTGCTAGACACGCACGGCATCAAGACCATTCTGCTCGAGCTGCCTGCACTCGGTGGGCTGGTGAGTCATGCCATGCGCGCTGCGCTGCACCTGCCACGCCACGCAATCCCTCTCTCCCACTCATCTCGCTCCCTTTCCAGCCTTTCTTCATCCGTCTCAGTGACTGTAAACCACTATCCTTCCACTCCTCCCCCACTCCGCCTTCACATGCACTTCACGACCTTCCAACGCATCCTCTAACACTCTCCCCCGTGCCTCTCTCCCGCCTGCCTCTCTTGTGCATGGCACGGTGCAGGCGGCCACAGCAGCGTACAGCAAGTATGTGACGCGCGAGATGGGGCGATCAGAGGCGCTGCTCAAGGTGAGATGGGGCGATCAGAGGCGCTGCTCAAGGTGAGATGGGGCGATCAGAGGCGCTGCTCAAGGTGAGTGTGGGAGAAATGTCCATCACTACTCCCTGCCTGCCATTGCCATGCATCTCCCTCTCCTCCACCCCTCTCCTCCACCCCTCTCCTCCCCCCTCTCCTCCACCCCTCTCCTCCACCCCTCTCCTCCACCCCTCTCCTCCACCCCTCTCCTCCAACCCTCTCCTCCACCCCTCTCCTCCACCCCTCTCCTCCACCCCTCTCCTCCACCCTCTCCTCCACCCCTCTCCTCCACCCCTCTCCTCCACCCCTCTCCTCCACCCATCTCCTCCACCCCTCTCCACCCCTCTCCACCCCTCTCCACCCCTCTCCACCCCTCTCCACCCCTCTCCACCCCTCTCCACCCCTCTCCACCCCTCTCCACCCCTCTCCACCCCTCTCCACCCCTCTCCACCCCTCTCCACCCCTCTCCTCCACCCCTCTCCTCCACCCCTCCTCCACCCCTCTCCTCCACCCATCTCCTCCACCCCTCTCTGTTGTAAATGTATCTTATATATACAACATACATAGGCTAGAATAGGTGTAGCTCTTTAAGCCATTGGGGGGTTGGGTGTACACTCCAACCACACTTTGTGGTTGGGTCAAGATTTGGTTTGGTCTTGGTCCTTGGTTGGCACTTGCCAACATTTGGTCCTAAGGCCAACCAATCACAAGCTAGCAACATTGTGGGGTTCCCTACTCCACAAGGCAACTCACCCATTGGCCAACTTAGTGGCCAATAGGGTTGCACCTTCTTCCAACCTCTCTTCCTTGCATGCTTGTACTATAGAGCCTCCTTGGCTCATTACTCAATCATTCTCTTGAATTCTATCATGGTATTCAGAGCCAAATGGCTCACGCCACCTCCCTCGATCCTTAGGCCGTAATTTCCTCTCCGCGTCTTAGATCTAGCCTCCCGCGGCCTCAATCCTCCCTCCCGTACCTCAGATCTAGCTTTCCGCGGCTCAGATCTACTCCTCCGCGGCCTCAATCCTCCCTCCCGTACCTCAGATCTAGCTTTCCGCGGCTCAGATCTACTCCTCCGCGGTCTCAATCCTCCCTCCCGCGGCCACAATCCTCCCTCCCGCGGCCTTAATCCTCCCTCTCGCGGCCTCCGACCGCTCTCCCGCGGCCTCAATCCTCCCTCCCGCCGCCACCCCTCCCTCACGCCTTCCGTCGCGGACGGCCAGCACACCGTCGCGGACGGCCAGCAAGCCGTCGCGGACAGCCAGAAAGCCGTCGCGGACGTCCAGCACACCGTCGCGGACGGCCAGCAAGCCGTCGCGGACGGCTAGAAAGCCGTCGCGGACGGCCAGAAAGCCGTCGCGGACGGCCAGCAAGCCGTCGCGGACGGCCCGCAAGCCGTCGCGGACGGCCAGCCAACCGTCGCGGACGGCCAGCCCGCGGCCACGAGCACCCCGCGCGTCGACGCGGACGGCCAGCGCGGAGTCGCGGCCGACCTGTGCGCCATCCCGAACGGCCGCCGCGCGATCGCCGACGACCTCCGCGCCGACGCGGACGACCGACGCGGAGCCGCGGCCGACCCTCGCGCTGACGCGGACGGCCGACGCAGAGCCGTGGCCGACCCTCGCACTGACGCGGACGGCCGACGCAGAGCCGCGGCCGACCCTCGCGCTCTCACGGGCGGCCGACGCGCCGCCGCGACTGACCTGCGCAACCTCCCCCCTTCATCCGCGCCCTGCCCCACACTTCCGCGCCATCCTTCCTCTCCCCTACCTCCTCCCCCCCCCTCCTACTTCACCCTTAATCGCACCAGCAACAGCACCTAGCAGCGACCTTTAACCCTAAACCAGCAGCGCCACCCTGTTACGGCACCAGCAGCGGCACCTTCAACGGCACCAGCAGCGGCACCTTCAACGGCACCAGCAGCGGCACCTTCAACGGCACCAGCAGCGGCACCTTCAACGGCACCAGCAGCGGCACCTTCAACGGCACCAGCAGCGGCACCTTCAACGGCACCAGCAGCGGCACCTTCAACAGCACCAGCAGCGGCACCTTCAACAGCACTAGCAGCAGCACCTTCCCGACTTCGCCATCATGGCGTCCGCAGACTCATCGGTCGACCTGGCGACCATTGACTCTCTCGAGTTGTTGGGCGACAACTCGGCCGCCAACTGGCACTCTTATGCCCACTCCGTCGAGGTGTTGCTCTCCTCGGTTGTCGTCAGCGGATATACCCTCCGTTCCGTCGTGTTCCAGGAGGAAGGCGGACTCCAGCCCATCGCCCCTTCCGCCCCCACCGGACCTCCTCCTGACGAGCCCGGACCTGAGCCCGAGCCTCCTGGTGATCCTCCCACCTTCGCGCCGGATGTCAACAATCCTCAGAGCATGGAAACTGCCATCCGTACCTACCGCACCGCACTCAACGACCACCTTCGCCGTCAACTGCGCTATGAGGACGACAAGCGCGCCTACGACGAGGCTGCTGCCCGCCACCGCGATTACCAAGCTCGACTCGCCACGTACACTACACGTCTCGCCAGCTACACCACCGACATCGCTGCGTGGCGCATTGCTGACCGTCGAGCTCTCGCCATCCTCCTCGCCACTATCCCCTCCTCCCTCAAACGAGAGCTTTCACCTACCTCCTCCTCCCACCTGTGGCAACTGCTTGTCGACCTCTTTGACCGGCAGGACATCGCCACCCTCTATGCCCTCATCAAGGAATTTGGATCCATCACCATGGATTCCACTGCCGGCGCAGCCGCCTTTACTCGCCGCGTCCTTGACCTTGCTCGCCGCCTCGCAGCACTTGGCGTTACCTACCCTGACACTGTCATCTGCTGCCACCTCCTCGAAGGCCTCACTCCCGCCTTCGATGCCCACAAGCTCGCATACATGCAACTCCTCTCCAAGCATGACACTCCCGCTCAAGTTGCCCAGTGGATTATCACCACTGAGGCTGAAATCCTTCGCCACTCCTCCTCCACTGCCGCGGTAGCACAGCAGCGCAGCGGCAAGGGCGGACGTGGGGGAGGGCGTGGAGGTGGGCGTGGTGGTGGTCGAGGCGGCTCTGGCGGTCGTGGTGGTGCGGGTCGTGGGGCAGCAGCGGCCTTCCCACCCTGTCAGTATCTTCCCCTCTATGGCCCCACCCGAGGCCAACGCTGCAACCAAACCACTCATGCAACTGACACGTGCTTCAAGGCACTCAGCGATGAGTGGTTCGCTCGTGGGAACTCTGGCACCCCTCCTCGCTGGTCCGCCCTTAATCCCCGCCCCACTCCCCTCGATGTTCGCACCTCTCCCCTCTACGCCCCCTCCTCCTCCTCCCAGGCCCACCAGGCCTTTGCTCTCCCCTCTCAGCAGCAGCAGCAGAGTGTCCAGCAGCAGGGACCGCAGCAGTATGGGCAGCAGCTCCAGCAGCTCCAGCAGCTCCAGCAGCAGCTCGACCTCCAGCCCCAACTTCCTCTCCTCCCTCCTCCTCCTGTCCCCCAGCAGCAGCCGTTTCCCAGCTGGACCGCCGGAAATGCCGCCTCTGCGGCCCACCTCTCCGGTCCATCCCCTGCGCCGTCCACAGGTGGCAGTGTGACCCCCTTTCCCTCCTCTGGCTTTGTTGGTCTCCTTAGTCAGCCTCCTTCTGTTGCATCTCCTATGTATGCCCCTGCTATTAATGAAACCTCAATTCAGTATTCCGCCTCACCCTCCTCCACCCTTGAGTTCGTCTTGGACAGTGGAGCCACTGATAATGTCTTTCGAGATGCCGGCAAACTCAATCCTCTTCCCACATCCACGTCCCTCCTTGGCGCTGATAGCAGCTTTTCCATCCCCTGTCACAACACCTCCACCCTTCCCTGTCCTCTCTTTCCCTCAGGTACTGTCACAGGTCTTCACATTCCCTCCCTTCGCACCAACCTCCTCTCCCAAAGGTCCCTCCAACAATCCATGATCACCACTCTCACCCCAGGTGGTGCTAACCATTGTGATCTCTACCACACCTCCACAGGTCGTTTCCTCGCCCGTATTCCTTACTGTCCCCGCACCCGTCTATACACCCTTCGAGTTCCTCGCCCCCTCACCTTCCAAGTTGCCTCCCCCCCCCTCTTCCCCCCCCCCCCCCTCCCCTCCCCTCCACTAACCCACCCGTCCCCCCCCCGCCCCCCTGACTCTGACTGCTCATGTCGCTCCCTCTCCCACCCTGCCATCCTCCTCCATCACAGGCTAGGTCACCCCAACTTCGCCACTCTGCGCTCCTCTGTATCCTTTGGTCTCCTCCACGGTCTCCCCTCTTCCCTCCCTCCCCTCCCAAAGTCCCCTGCCCCCCCTTGCGTCGTCTGCGTTCAGAGCAAGCTCAAGCAGCAGCCGCACCGGAGCTCCCCCTCCGCTGCTGCTCAGCCACTTGATCTTGTTCACATGGACCTCTGGGGCCCTAACCCTTCCCCCACTCGCCAAGGCCATCGCTACCTCCTCGTGCTCGTCGATGACCACAGTCGGTACTCGTCCGTCTCTCTCCTTCGGACGAAGGCGGATGCCCCGACCGCGATCATTGCTTGGCTCGAGCAAGCCAACACCCACTTTGGCCGCCCTGTTCGTCGCCTCCACTCTGATGGTGGTGGTGAGTTCCTTAATACCCAAATTTCCTCCTACTGCCAGTCCCGCGGCATTCTCCAGACTCACACCCTCCCTCACTCCCCACAGCAGAACGGTGTCGCTGAGAGCCGTGTTCGGGAGATCACCAAAACGGCTCGGTGTCTTCTTGTCCACGCCTCATGCCCCCCTTCTCTGTGGGGCTACGCCCTCCTTCATGCCGCCCTCCTTACTAACCTCTACCCTCACCCCCTCCTCCCCTCCACCACCCCCACTGAGCTATGGACAAAGGACAAACCCGATGTCTCCCCTCTTCGAGTCTGGGGCTCAAAGGCCTATGTCCTCATTCACCCGTCTGACCGATCCCGCTCCCTTGGAAAGCTTGCCCCTCGTACCCTTCCTTGCGTCTTCCTTGGTCATAACCCCTCCTCCCCCGACTACCTTTTCCTCCACCCCCCTTCCGGTCGACTAATTCGCAGCAGAGATGTCGTCTTTGACGAGTCCACCCCGTACTATTCCTCTCCCCCGTCCACTGACCCACTCCCACCTCTGACCCGTCCCCTTGTCTGGTCTGACACCACACCTCCCCCTCTCCTCCCCCTCCCCCCCCATCCTCCCACCCCCTCCCCCTCCGCCCTCCCAGTCCCACAGTGCCCCTCCCTCGTCTGGTGACATCTTTGACCCGGACCCTCTATCTTCCCCTGTCTCCCCCGCCCACTCCTCCCCCGGTGCCCCTCCCCCTCCCTCCCAACCACCTCCCTCCCCCACTCCCCGCACCATACTCACCCGGTATCCTCACACCAGGTCATGTGACAGTATCCTTGGTGCACCGCCCCCTGTTACCCTCTCTACCTCTTCCCTTCCCCCTCTTTCTCCCCTCCTTCACCACTTCTTCCAGGCTGTCTTACACCACGCCTCTCCTGCACCAGCCTCCTCGACCACCTCCCCATCCTCGGTAGCAGCACCTCCAGCAGCAGCCATTGCAGCGGCACCAGCAGCGGCAGGTGCAGCAGCAGCAGCGGCACCAGCAGCGGCAAGTGCAGCGGCAACAACGGCCTCCACAGCAGCACCAGCAGCGGCACCAGCAGCGGCACCAGCAGCGGCACCAGCAGCGGCACCAGCAGCGGCACGAGCAGCGGCCCCAGCGGTTATCCGCGCCTTCCACACCTCCCTCTCTGAGGACTCCCATGAGGAGTTCCTTGACCTCCACCTTTCCGACCCCTCCCTCCTCCCCATCACCTTTGACCTGTCTGGAACACCAGTCTTCGCCTTTTCCTCTGCTCCCTCCATCTTCGTCCCAACCACGTACGAGGAGGCCATGGCTTGCCCCGACGCCCCGCTCTGGCTTGCCGCCATCATCAAGGAGCTCGAGGCATTTATCGCCAACTCCTCCTTCGTTGATGTCCCTCGCCCTCCCTCCTCTACGAACGTGGTAAAGGGGAAGTGGGTGTTTCGCGTCAAACAGCTACCAGGAGAACCGCCCGTCTACAAGGCCCGGTATTGCGCCAAGGGCTTCACGCAGCGGTATGGTTTTGACTTCTTCGACACCTTCTCCCCCACCGCCAAACCTGCTACCGTTCGCGCTGTACTCGACCTCGCCGCTCGCCTCAACATGGAGATCCACTCGATGGATGTCTCCAACGCCTTCCTGCAAGGCGTACTACGTGAACTCATTTACATGGAGCGCCCAGACGGCTTCCACCTCCCCTTCCCCGCCGACTCCGTCTGGCAGCTGCGCCGACCCGTGTACGGGCTCCGTCAGGCACCCAGGGAGTGGCATGCCAAGCTTGCTGCCACCCTTGCTGAGCTTGGCTTTCGCACCTCCCGCTCTGACGCCAGCCTCTTCCTCCGCACCTCTCCCTCCCCCTTCTACATCCTCGTCTATGTTGACGACATGATCCTCCTCACCGCCGACCTTGCCGAGCTCGAGACTGTCAAGGCGGAGCTGGGCAGCCGTCTCAAGTGCAAAGACCTGGGAGAGCTGCAGAACTACCTCGGCATGACCATCACTCGCGACCGCTCCGCCCGCACCATCTCACTCTCTCAGGGTCACTACCTCCAGCAGGTCTTGGACCGGTTTGACATGGCGCGCGGCAACCCCCAGCCCACTCCCCTCTCGGTTGGGCACCACCTCTCCCCACCCTCCTCTCCCTCTCCCTCCTCCCATCCTTATCCGGAACTCATCGGCTCTCTCATGTACGCCATGGTTTCCACTCGCCCCGATCTTGCCTACCCCATCAGCGTCCTCGCTCGGTTCGTTGGCGCTGGCAAGCACACGGAAGAGCACTGGCAGGCCGCCAAGCGTGTCCTTCGCTACATTCGTGGCACCAAGGACTATGTCCTCACTCTTGGCGGCCCTTCCCCACCACACCTCAACGGCTACAGCGACTCTTCCTGGGCTGATTCTCGACCGGATCGGCGGTCCTCTCAGGGCTATGGCTTCTCCCTCGGCAGCGGTCTCATCAGCTGGCGGTCCACACGCTCCTCTGCCGTCGCCCTCTCCTCCTGCGAAGCAGAGCTCTATGCTGCGACCATGGCCGCGCAAGAAGCACGCTGGCTCACCTTCCTCCTTGATGAGCTCGGAGCCCCCCAACGCTGTCCCACCATCTGGTGTGACAACGCCAGCACCATCCACCTCACCAAGGACGCTGTGTATCATGGGCGCTCAAAACATATTGAGCTTCGCTACTTCTTCATTCGCGATCTCGTTGAGGCCGGCCACATTCGTCTTGGCAAAATCGACTCGGCAGCCAACCTCGCCGACATCTTCACCAAAGCTCTTCCCCTAGCGTCCCACTCCTTCCTGTTGCGTCTCCTTGGGCTCACCCCGCCACCAGTTTTGGCGGCCTCCTGATTACATTTTTTCTAGCCTTATGCATGTTGGGGGGTTGTGTTGTAAATGTATCTTATATATACAACATACATAGGCTAGAATAGGTGTAGCTCTTTAAGCCATTGGGGGGTTGGGTGTACACTCCAACCACACTTTGTGGTTGGGTCAAGATTTGGTTTGGTCTTGGTCCTTGGTTGGCACTTGCCAACATTTGGTCCTAAGGCCAACCAATCACAAGCTAGCAACATTGTGGGGTTCCCTACTCCACAAGGCAACTCACCCATTGGCCAACTTAGTGGCCAATAGGGTTGCACCTTCTTCCAACCTCTCTTCCTTGCATGCTTGTACTATAGAGCCTCCTTGGCTCATTACTCAATCATTCTCTTGAATTCTATCACTCTCCTCCACCCCTCTCCTCCATCCTCCACCATCTCCTCCACCCCTCTCCTCCACCCCTCTCCTCCACCCCTCTCCTCCACCCCTCTCCTCCACCCCTCTCCTCCACCCCTCTCCTCCACCCCTCTCCTCCACCCCTCTCCTCCACCCTCTCCTCCACCCCTCTCCTCCACCCTCTCCTCCACCCTCTCCTCCACCCCTCTCCTCCACCCCTCTCCTCCACCCCTCTCCTCCACCCCTCTCCTCCACCCCTCTCCTCCACCCCTCTCCCCACCATGACTACCACCCGTGCCGCACACCAGGTGGTGCTGGCGCCACAGGAGAACCTGGTGGACACGTACCGCACACTGCTTCCTGATGGCTCTGCGGCTGACTTCCTGCGCACCCTGGACCTCAAGGTGCGCCACCCTCTCGTGGAGCTCTTGCTGTTTGTCCAGATGTCCTTTCGTCCCACAAGTATCAGTGCATGTTTATCATGCCTCGGTATCCTTTGCTCTGAAAAACGCATGCTCTAGTGTCTCTGTTTCTATACGTGCTCCCTCCTCTTGCTTTTCCCACTGCACACATCACAGCATTCACCCCCCGCTCCTCCATCATCACTTCCCCTTCCTCTTGCTGCACTCACGCCCCCTTATCCCTCTCCATACAGGGCGTGAAGAAGCAGGAGCAGCAGCCGCTGCTAGACGCGCTCACAGCCAATCTGAAAGCAGCAGCGCCCACACAAGCCCCACCCTCCAAGTCCCCCACCTCCTCCGCTGCACCTTCCACCACCACCCACCCAGCCCCACCACCTGCCACCGCTACCACCGCCCCCCCAGCTGCCACAGCCACCGCAGCAGCCGCTGCGGCAGCAGGCATGCTGACGAGTGCAGCGAGCCGCGAGGCCATGATAGCGCGGGCGGCGGCGCTGGGGCGGGGGGCCATGGCGCAGTCAGCGGCGGCAGCGGCAGCGGTGTCGCAGAACACGGCGCTGAAGCGCATCTTCGCCCTCGCTGACTCCTCCACCGCCAGCGCCTCCAAGAAGGACATGTCCTTCCGCTCCCTCTTCAATGCCTAGCTTGCTTACACACCTGTGGACGCATGATTCTTGGAGGCATGAATCTGAGTGCAATGCTTTCCTTGTTGGGTTACCTATCCAGCAGTTCTTGTGGGTGCGCTCTCTTTTGTGCAACAGCGATAGTATCTGCATCCTAATCAATGAGGTACCATACCAGATCATTTCGCAGTATCTGCATCCCAATGAATGAGGTACCATGCCAGATCATTCCGTAATATTTGCATCCCATACCAGATTATTCCGCAGCATCTACATCCCAATCAATAAGGCACTAAACCAGATCATTCCGCAGCATCTACATCCCAATCAATAAGGCACTAAACCTGATCATTCCGCAGCATCTACATCCCAATCAATAAGGCACTAAACCAGATCATTCCGCAGCATCTACATCCCAATCAATAAGGCACTAAACCAGATCATTCCGCAGCATCTACATCCCAATCAATAAGGCACTAAACCAGATCATTCTGCAGCATCTACATCCCAATCAATAAGGCACTAAACCAGATCATTCCGCAGCATCTACATCCCAATAAATAAGGCACTAAACCAGATCATTCCGCAGTATCTGCATCCCAATCAATGAGGTGCCATACCAGATCATCCCGTGACAGAGCTAAATCATCATTGGCGGTATTGTGAACTGCCATCCATCCATTCCATCATGCAACTGCTGTTGCAATGGCAGATGCTTCCTTGGAGGACCGGCAAATGCACTACGATGCATCCATCTTGTTCAAGTAAAGAATTTAGTTTAATACAACTCCCATATTTCTTCAACCTCTGCTGCTTGCTGCAACAGCTTAGGAACGAATGCAGGTTAAGAAAATACATTGCTACTTCGATAGGTACAAATGTAGCGTTGATTTCATATCCCAGAGATGCTACTTCTAGAGAGGTATATTACAGAGATGCTATTGTAACTATTGAATCTACAGTAGGGAGACACTCCCAGCAACACATCCCTGAAAGTACAAGGGCAGTTAGTTTCACTTTTCCCTCGCCAATTACAACACGGGCACTGGGGCGCCCCCTGTCGTTTTGCTGTGGGATTGATATTGGGGTTGGGGGAAACGTAGAAGTCCACCCTTATTTCAACACTGCCCGGAAGGATATCCTGAATTACAAAGTGTTTTCCAGATTGTGACACGACTCTCCGAGGAGTGTGCAGTGCAGTCGTCATAGCATTACAAGTCTCGATTTTACAGCACACTCAGATGGGCAATAACAGTTGGTTCAATCATAAATTACGTGCTAAGAATTACCTATGGTAGAATGGGGTTGGGAGGGAGGGAGCAAATCAAGATCTAGAAAATGCAAATGAGACTAGGTGGCAGGTCTGAGAGACCTGCCGGAATGTCAAGGAGTTTGTCTCCTTTACAGCAAACTCCTCTACTAGTCGAATCACAATCTTCAAAATTTTTAACTTCAAAAATTTTACATGTGTTGTCGCACTCGAACAGAAACACCAAGTAGCTTCTCAATCGTATAACATATTTTAGAGCGGTTGGATTTGATTTAATTGTTGGAGGGCTGAAGCTTGGAGCATTCTTTTTTGCTTGGTCAAATTTATGCCATCCTTGAATTTTTTACTTCGTGCATTTCCCAGACCCAACACCATAGGATTCTGCTGACACGTCAGACTGTCAGATGGAAGGTGACTCGGTATCATTGTTCGTTGGCCACATCATCTGTACAGTCTATCCGAGACACGCTCGCCTCGGAGCCACAGGTGATAACAAAAAAGGGGGGGGGGTGGGGCGGGGAGGGGGGGGGGGGGGGCAGAATTGGCAAGGGAGAGGTGTATTGCCTACCAGCAGCTGGGGGTTTCCAAGGCCCTTCATGACATCCTTTCAGTAGCTGGGATGCTCTCAGCAACACGTGTCCTTGAATGCCGTGGAGAGCTCCTTTGCATGTGTCAGGTGTGTCAGCCTGCATTGTACCGTAACTATAGGCATTGCAATGAGGGCTCATTCTTTCTATGCGTCCTCCTCCTGCTGCTGCTGCTACTGCTGCCTGGCCTGCTGCGCTCTGCTGCTGCTGCCTGGCCTGCTGCGCCCTGCTGCTGCTGCTCATGCACCAAACACTCTCTCCTCCCCACCTGCTGCTTCACCCCCTCCTTGCCTAACACGCCACTTGCCACTGCTTTGCCACCTGCTGCCTCCACTCCACCCTGCATTCCACCTGCTGCTTTCACTCCACCCTCTTCGACCTGCTACCCTCCCTGCTACACCCTCCTCACACCCACCCTCCTCTCTCGTCAACCCACTCGCGTGCCTGCTGCTGGCCTTGCCAGCTGCTCTCACCCCACTCGCGTGCTGCAACTACTGCTGCTGCTGCTACCACTGTTACTGCACATGGGGCATACACTGCATGCGTGTTGCTGCCCACACCACCCTTCATACCTGAGCTCAACGCCTTGATGCTGCACCCATTGTAACTTGCTGCAACAGCATGCCTTGGCTTCTGTGTTGCTACTGCATCTGCATCTCCTCTCACTGGTGATGCCTCAGCAGTTTAGCTTACTAATCCTGCTACTGTTGTTGCTGTAGGGGAAGAAGTTGGTGCTGCGACTCTGCTACTGTTGCTGCTGCTGCAGATGCAGGAGCGGTTTTGTTGGGCACGATCCAGTCATGCAGGGCCACTTCAATGGTGAATCACTGTCCCTCGCCCATGTCCCCTGGCTCAGCTTGTCCGTTCTTAGTACGCAGCACATACGTGCAACGCTCTGGTCATTTCAATATCTATAGCTCGAACCTCCTGATGTAGCTTGTCCTATCACGCATTCTCACTTGGATCAGCAGCACATGTTCGCCTCCTCAGGCATTACTTCTGTGGTTGCACTCGCTTCAGGTATCTGTGATGTGGTTGAAGTCGTTGGAGCCACAGGCACCAGCTAAGCCACCAACACAAGCACAACTACAGCAGATGGTGTGGCAGCAGGAGTAGAAGATGGTGAGAATGGAGCAGCAGTGATGACCAGCAGCAGTCTTGCTTCCAAACCAATCGATTTCAGGTTGCTTCACATGAGGTGCGACAGGTACGCGCATTTTGATGGGCTTGTGCTGCCCATCAATGATGCCTTGGGAGGACGACGCATGCATGTGCTTCGTCAGATTCTCCAGCAACGGCCTCCACTCTTCAGAAGCATGCTGTTATAGCACGTCCCACTGTCGCCGCTGCAAGCAGTAGCCATTACATGAGAGTATGTTACAGGCGAGAAAAGTGTTTGCGGGGTCCCAACCTGCCAATGAATCTGTCTGCAAAACAGAGGGAACAGTGCAGAAATGCAATCAAAACCGTGGAATTTGAATGTAGATTGCTAAGCTGAAACTGATTGTCGAATAGAGGCTGATTCATAACGATTTCATTGCTGCAGATCGATGGAATGACAGAGGAATTGAAAAGGGTAGGTTCCATTCTTAGCGACCTTAGTTTTTACTGCTTTATGCCCTCGCCCATTCAAACCCCCGCCTCCAAGCCTACTTGCATCGTCCGCCTGACTGTTGGGGTTCCAGCCTCGTCGTGCCTTACTATCTACTTGTAAGCATGCCTGGAAAATGTACGCTAGGGCATTTGAACTCGAATTGATTTTACAAACAGCATATCTCAATGTCCTAAGACGAATTCTTACCTTTCCAATTCGCACTGAACGGGAGAAGACGATCTATTATAACGAGTCTCTCCTCGCTTATACTGTCTTACCGGTTATCCACCGAGCAACTCAACATCCACATTTTTATTTATCATTGGGCTCTTGTGCAGTTTTCTGGGACATATATGCAAAGCGTGAATATGAGCAAATATAGAAAAAGATTTTTAGGCTCAAAATATTTTTGACGAACCAAGGGTTGCTTTGATCGGAGCAAGAACGAGAAAGCTACGAGTGATCGAATTTCGTAAACCTTTACATTTATTGTTGCGGCGACTATGGGAATTTATGGGGCGACTCTATATGGCCTAGATGCCATTGAGGGTTCGATTCATTTTTTATCTTCACTGTAGTTATTGCCAAGTAGTTTAGGGAAGTCAAACCAGGTTGGCAAGTGTGGCCAATTAGGGTGAGGTGGATTACAACAGTTAAGAAAATGAGAAAGGTTAAAGTTGGATCACCGTAGAGCGGGGATTTTGTGTGCTTATGGGTTTTCTTTGGTTGAGGATCCCTTGAAAACTCCTCTCATCCTCCACGTTCTTTCCCACCTGGTTTCTTGTTATTATATATTCTATTGTGTTTTCTAGTTGAACTATTCAAATTGGGTTAAGTTTCAGCTACAGATTACCCTCGTGTGTGCCAAAATTTATAACTCACGGTAGGCTTCACCTCTTGATGCGAAACATATTGGGGATGATAGCCAAGGTAAGGTTGACCGTGGTGAAGTTCTAACGGTGTTTTTTTTTTCTTTTTTTTTTTTTTTTCAGCGACGTTTCTTTTAAAGTCAACTGTTTTAATGATGTATTTTTTGTCTACTCAAGCAGCTCAAATCAACTAAAACGGATTAAGGAGAAAAGGCCATGAACATGTCTTAATTGTTGAAAAAATCTACGAGACTGGTTGAAAAACATTGGAGGCAACATCCATGACGATATGTTTATCTCCTCTTGTGACTATTATGTGATGCTATCATTTGCATTCACGTCTGTCTGCCTCCCATCATATGTTCGTGCGTTGCAGGTAGGGTTGAGCACCGGGCGGGCCCGACCGGGGCCGTGTAGGGTAACTCTCGGCCCGGGCCCGCCCTTAAGGCGGGCGGGCCCGGCCCGGCCCGACCCGGGCCCTTGATGGCCCGACTCGGGCCGAACTGGCCCGGCCCTGCTACATAGATAATATATGAAATGTTGTATTTATGGGCTGCAACTGCTCTAATCTCATGTCGTGGACCTAAGATTATTGATTTGTAACATTTTTTTCAACAAATTCAAAATCCAGCACCATGCTTTTTTGATACAAGCACATGGCATACGTTTAGTGTTTGGAAAGAGGGTTATCTACCAAGGGTAAGGCAAAGTGAGCATGCTTGAAGTTCCCAATCACATTTGCAAAGAAACGCATAACAACCTACATGTCTTCCGGCCCCATGCACTCCACCTCAAGATCAAAGGCTGGCACAACTCCCCCTGTCATACGCTCTGCAGCCTCCTCTAACGAAACCCCTGGATGACTCGCGTAGAAGGATCGTAGAGTCATGGAATCAGAAATCCTATCCGCGCTCGGCGCTGCCAGGTGATCAGGTTCCTGCTCGCCGAGAACACGCGCTCACTAGCAGCTGAGGAAGCTCGTATGGCGGGTAGTCACGTGCCATCGCCTTGAGCACAGGCATGTCTACCTTGGCATGCCAGTACTCAACCCCTCCAACATGTACCGATCGATCTCATCCCCTGCGGACCAAGGCACCCCCCCACCCTCCATGCTAGCTGCCACACGTGCGAGTAAACTAGAGCGACTAGCGAAACTCACGCCCTCATCCTCCTCCTCCTCCCCCTCCCCCTCTTCATCTTCAGTCCTGGTTGGTGGCGTCACAGCCACGGGGGGTGCTGGTGGAGGTGCCACACGAGCCGCGGCTAAGTTCTGCGCCGCCTGGTAGGATGCCCAACGCGACCGTACCAAGCGCAAAACCTGCTCTTGTGGAACCTGCGCCACTGCCGGCACAGTGTTCATCGCAAACTACGCCAGCTTTAGCCCAGGGTCGAGAAAGGTGGCGACCGTCAGCTCGTCTGTGCTATTGTCGTAGAACTTCTGCAGGACAGGCAAGGCTGCCTGGATGAGATCACGTAGGAGGTCGAAAGGTGGGGTAGATGCATCTTCCAAAGTCTTCTCCAAAGTGTCGAGGAGAAGGTTGTAGTACAGCACGATGGTCGCAACCGTTGGGTACACAGACCCTTCGGCTGCCTTGGTGATGGTGTTGAAGGGCGCCAGAAACGCCTTCAACGCCACCTGTGCGTTCCAGTGATCGTCAGTCATTCGAAAAGAAGCGTACTTCTCCTTCTCTTCTTTTGTAGAGCTTTGCGGTTAAAGGGGGATTGCATTGAAGCGAACGGAGAGGGATGGTTACGAGGAAGTGGGTTAAATTGGAAGGATGTAAGTACCGTGCATACTTGGCATGGCACGCTACGCGAACAAGGATGTACGCGCATGGATGTATGCACAATGGTCAGGTGAGTACGTACTGTACTTGGTATACCCCTGATCGACAACGTATACTCACCTGCACCTGGGAGAAGTGGGAGCTTGATGGACGACGAAGACGCAGGGCACGTGCCACCATGGCGAAGCTGGACCCCCAGCGGGTCTCGCAGTCGAGCACGAGCTTGACATCCCTCATTGTAGGAAAGGAATCCTTCAACTCCTTCCTGAACCGCGCCATGCGCTTTGACGACAGCCCCACGCATTTGGCCATATCGCGTATGCGCTGCAGTGGAACCTTGACCTTATCCACCTTGAGCGCCTTCTGGACAGCCAGGTTGATCACGTGCGCGAAACACCTGTTTGGAACGTAACGGATTATTAGTGGGATTCGAACGGACCAGGGTCATGCAACATGTTTAAGTCAATGCCACGCACATGCAATTGCCCGCCCATGCACAAGCCCATGCCCGCGCAAAAGACAATCAACACATACCTGAACCACATGTCCTGGGAGATCAGTAGAAAGCGATCTCCGTCGTCCGACAGCTGCTTGATGGCCGCCACGTTGCCGGAGGCGTTATCGGTGGTAATACCGTGACAACGCCCCACCAACCCCCCATGCTCCAACCACTTCCTCGAACTGCTTGGCAATATCCTCCCCCGTGTGGCCCTCAGACATCTCGGTGAAGTCTATAGTGTGCGGTGACTACCATGTAACAGCGCCGAGCCTCAGACGACCAGATGTCACTGGTGAAGCACACCTTGAACATCAGCAGATCCTCTTCCTTCTCCAGCTCCAGCTCGGCCCTAGCCAACGCCCGTGCCATGTCCGCATACATCGACACGCCACGGGCCACTGTCCAGCGTGATGGAATGACCTTGTCCTTCCCACACGCTGAGTTGGCTACAGTCAGCATCTCCTTGAACTGTATGTCAATTCAAGGGTTGCGTGGAGGTGAAGATCACGACATGAGGACGGAGTTTTGTGGAGAGTGGTGGTGGTGGAGATGTTGCGGTACCACATACGAAGAGCAGGATAACATAACGCAGTGCAAAACGCAGCACAAAGCATGAGAACGGTTCAATCCTTACCGCATCACTGTCGACAATACGGTAAGAGCTGTCGATCATCACAATGAACTTGACGATGGCTGCTTGCAGTTCTCGGACCGACACCCGTGGAGTCATGAACTGCTCCATCGTCGCCTGCCCCCCACCAAGTGCAGCCACCCCTCCTACAAGCGCCTCGGGGGGAAAATTAGGATACGCTTCCGCATATGGCCACTCCTCTCCACCGTGCGGCACCCTGGATAGCCACCCTCAGGGAAGGTTGCCTCCGCGGGAGCCAAGCCCCCCTCGTACATCCGCTTCCAGATGGCGTAGTGAGCGTTATGCTGCTCCTCGTAGTGCCACCCGCCGGACCGTGTGTTGCTCAGCTTGAAAGAGATCCGCGTGGGGCAACACTGGCACTTGCGCGTCTCGTCAGCCGCCAGCTCGCCAAACATCTTAACCCCAGTATACTTAACCCACCTCGGCTTCTTACTTCCCTTTACGCTTCTTCCCCACTCGTCCCTCTCGCACCCCACCTACCTCCTTGCCTGCCGCCCTCCCTTTACCCTTCTTCTTACTCTTGCCCTCCTTCAGTTGAGCACGGATTCTCATTTTTTTTAAGCACCCTTAGAAGACTCGGGCTCAAGATCCGCCATCTCCTCGTCCTCACTACCGCCATCCGACTCATCATCCTTGTAGTCCGACTCGCTCCCATCATCAGACGAGTCGCCGCCGGAGGAAGAAGAGGATGAGGCTTCTTCATCCTCTCCACAAGCCGCCTTGAGTTCCAGCTCTTTGCCGCCACCACCAATCACTTGTCGCAATTCTCCGTGTGCGTTTAAACCGTCGTCGTGTGAAGGGAGCACGATGGGCGCGGTACCTAGTTTGGAAAATAGTTTTCCGCCATCGCGCGTAGCCTTTTTCGTACCGTTGCCCCGTACGGTTTTCTTAGGCGCCATTTGTTGAAATCGACGGTTGGGAGTCAATAAATTAGACAACGAAAATGTGTAGACTAATTTATGATTCAGGCAGGCCTAGAATTATAGAAACCCTAATCAATTCTTAATGTACGGCAAAATGACCTAATGCCTCAGCATTGGAATAAAGTAATCCGTAGAAATGGTTCACTAGCAATTTAAACTCAGTTACGTAGTTTAACCCTAATAGACAGTTGCACCAATTCCACTGCCGTTGCTGGTTTCGAAATCATCCGTAAAACAGTCGCGCCAATATTACGACGCCATTAGAACCCTTCCGTCCGGTTGTTTCTACCTACTTTTAAGATAGTAGCTAAACCCACTAATGCTGGCTTAGGCTAGACGAAATGCAGCGCGCTAAGGCTGGGAGGGGTTACGATATGGTTTAGAAAGAAAGCGAACTGCACAAATGACATGCAGATCACATTTGACCCCCTCGACAATTTCTCGCGGGGAAAAAAAACGGGCCCAAATCGCCCGATCGGCGCGTACATGAGTGGGCCAGACTCGGGTGGCTGCGGCCCGGCGGGCCGGGCCAGCCCGGCCCGGGGCATTTCCGGGTGGGCCCGACCCGGGCGGGCCCTGGCCCGCCCTCATGCTCATCATGAGTTGCAAGCATGGTGTGAGCGTGTGCAAGAATTTGTGTTTCGTGTGGTTTGGATTTTCTGAGTGTGTGTGAATGATATTTTGCTTGAACAGGTATTTGAAATGACTCCTTTGCTCAAGAGCTCTCCGATGAACCAAGAATTGCCGTGATCGGAGCAAGAACGAGAAAGCATGATCGTTTGGAGTTTTGATTGTGATGCGGCGACAACCAGAATTTGTGGAGTGACTCAATATGGGGTATAGACTTTTGGGGGTTGGGAAATTTGTCCCTTCTCCTATGGATGCTAGTGGTTAGGAGAAGCCAAACCAGGTTGGCAAGTGTGGCCAATTTGGGGTGAGGTGGATTTCTGAGGTTGGGATAGAGACAAAGGTCAAATTTGGGTTGCCTATAGGGAGGAAAATTGTGTGCTTATGGATTTTCTTAGTTGGGGACTCCCTTTGAACCTTCTCTCTCGTCCTTCTCATCCCCTTCTACCTGGTTTCTAGCTATTCTAACATTCTTGTGTGGTTCTTGTGAAACAAATGTTATTGGGTTAAGTTTCTATGGCAGCTTACCCCCTAGTGCGTCGAAATTCATAACTCGAGTTATACTCCATCTGTTTATTTTATTCAAATTGGGAATGATAGTCACAGTCAAGGGCTACAACATAATTGAGTTTGGCGAAATTCTAACGGTTATTGTTTTGTCGATGGCATGTCTTGGAAACTCGAGTTTCCTGTCCTTAAGCTTCCAGGACTCTGTCCTTGACATGTAGTATCAGTGTTGATTGAGAACTTTGTGGGGATTTTACTGAGGTGTGAAGACCCTTTCAGACCCACCATGACCTGTGGACATGCCCAAGTTGTGTTTTGAAGGTTGGACATGACTTTCGCTAAGGGGAAACTAAGCCAAAATTTTGATGGCGCCGACAATTGTGGAAATCGTGTGGGATTTCGGTGTGGACAGCAAGGGGGAGCTGTAATTCATCATCTGCTGAGTCCAAGATGAATGAAAGAGGAGTTGATCCAGTTGAGAAGAGGAATGAGCCACCACCATTCAAGATTGAGGGATTGGATGGCTCCAACCATGAGGAATGGAGTGGGCGGATGCGGAGGGCGTTCAAGCGCTATAGAGCCGTAGATGCTGAGAATTGCAATGGGAGAAGAGAAGATGCCGGATAAAGGAGATGTTCGTGATCAATGGATTGAGAAGAGCGCGGTACTGTACGGCCTCATCCTCCAATCGGTCAACAACGATATGTTTCAGCACATCAAAGATTTGGTAGAGCTCAATGGCTCGGGACCAAAGGCGTGGAAGCTACTGCGTTACGTGATTCAGCCCAACACGCTGCCGATGGTGATTGTGTTGGAGAAGGAGCTGGCTGCCCTCTCCATGCGACCGGAAGACAATGTGAAGCCGGCGTTGGACAGGATCAAGGACACCTATGCGAGGATGGCAGCGGCGGGCAGCAAGGTGTCGGAGATGCAGCAGTGCACCAAGATCATCTCGGTGCTCGACAATTCGTGGGACAACCTCATCCCCACCCTCAACACTCAGCAGGACCAGTGGACACCTGAGTGGCTGTGGCAGCAGATTTTGCAGGAGGACTTTCGTAGGCGCCGCACGGGAGGTGCTGCCAACAAAACTACTAAGGGGTATGGAGTTGCAGGAGGAAGTAGGAGAAGAGGGGGTGGGAGAGGCCAAGGCTATGGGAGAGGCTTTGGCAGAGGGAGAGGCCGAGGTGACTACAATGAGGGGCATGAGAGCTCTGGTGGCAGGAGAGCATCCGTATGGAGGGTGCATGCTGGTATTGCAAGAAGATTGGACATCCGTGGTTCAAGTGTTTCAGCCGGCCTGAGGGATGGGCGCCCCCAGGCATGAAGCCACTAAGTGGTGAACACACACAAGGTGGCGTTGTGCAAGGTTTAGGTGCACAACGTGATGGTGCGCAAGATAAAGCCTCACCTAGGATGTTCCTCATGGTTGAGGAAGTGAAAGGGAGTGAGGATGATGTGGGTTCGGTTGGGAAGGTCGTGATGCACCCCCTTACTCACTAGGTGATCAATTCAGGTTGCACAAGTTACATGACACCACAGGCATATTTGCTTGATGAGGTAAATTCCCCATATGAAGAAAAAGTTTGTGGTTGCCGCTTCAGGTGCTTTTCTCTTAGTGATTGGTGTGGGGAATGCCAAGGTGATGGGAGCCAAAGGGGAGCTTGTGGGGCTTTGGAAAGTGCTGCTGGTTGAAGGCTTCCTTCCGTGCGCCGGCTACGGAAAAGCAATGTTAAAGTTACGTTCGGCCCAACCAGCTGCCGTGCAAAGCTTGGGAGGTTACTGCTGTGGGATCTAGAGGAGAAGAGCAGATGCATCAATGACCTATGGCAGCTGCCCATCATTCCTTGAAATGGGAAACCTCCAGCAACAGCAGCTGCGGCAGCGGCTAAGGCAACTGCGGGAGGAGAGGAGACTGCACCAACTGATGGGGCCCTGGATGCAGTCAAGAAGGTGCAGCAGCCACAGCAACCACATGGTGAGGTGCTTGCTGGTGTGGATGCGACAGCTGCATGGGCAAAGGCTTCGTCTCAGAATGGTGAGGCCAATTGGAAGACATGGCACAAGAGGCTATGTCACATTAACATTCCTATGCTGCAGAAGATGGTGAAAGATGGGAGCCTGAAGGGCTGGAGGTGAAGGGGGCAGCGAAGGAGATTGGGAGCTGCCCAACATGCCTTGAGACCAAGTTCACGAAGTTTCCCTTCAGCAGTGGCACAGGACCAGCCAAGGCGCCACTTGCGCTTGTACACATGGATGTGGTGGGCCCCACGAGGGCCCTTTCTCTCTCGGGCAGCTGCTACTTCTTGACCATTGTGCGTGTCCACACGCGTGCGGTGTGGGTGTACCCTCTGAAGACTAAGGGGGAGGTGGCAGCGGCTGTTCGTAAGGAATGGATGCCGAGAGCTCAAAAGGAGAGCAGACACAAGGTGAACGTGATCTGCACCGACAATAGAGAAGAGTTCATTGGTAATGAGGATTTTGAGGCAGTGCTGAAGAAGAAGGGCATTCAGCATCAGCTCACAGTGCCCTACAACCCTCAGCAGAACGGCGTGGCTGAGCGGTTCAACCGGACCCTGCAGAAAGGTGCTCGCACTCTCCTTGGGCGTGTAGGGCTGCTGGATCCGTTTTGGGTGACTGCACTGTCGCAGGTCGCTCTTGTGAAGAACAGGGTGCTGGCGACTGTGGGGGACAAGCAATGGGTCCCCTACACCAAGTGGTACGGGAGTGCACCAGCAATCAACATGCTGAGAGCCTATGGTGGTGTTTCATGTGCCAAAGGAGAAGAGGGGAAAGCTGGAAGCTTCTGGGAGATGGGTGTTAGAATCTAGCAGCAGGAATGAATGAACTAGCAGCATGATGGGTACAAGTAGGAAACCCTAATTTGGGTTGTACCCCATATGGGCAGCATACACAATAAGCAGCATATATGTTTGACACACCCCCATAGGCAAAGTGGGGGAGAACAAAGGGTCACACGACCAGTCAAGAGAAGCAAAACAAGCTCAGGGTGGATCACAACGTCACCACACACTCTGAGCACAAGCAAAGGGCCACAAGGCCAGTTCACATGCAGAGGTATATATATATGCAACAACAATAGAGCAGTGATCACTACCTAGCAAGAGCAAGCATGCAGGTATATATATATATATATATATATAGATCACAGTACAACCAAAGACTACAGCAAGTGTGGAAACGTAGGCACAAGGCCTAACAGGGTACAAAAGCGCTGATGATCACCAGACGGAAGTGCCTTGGTAAATATATCAGCAGTGTTGGCCCGAGTGGCCACGTGACGAAGACGAAGCTGACCTCGCTGCTGCAACTCTCGA